ATATTCTAAAAGACATCTTAACATCCATTACAGAATGTTAAAAAAAACAAAAACAAAAACAAAAAATAACCCACCAGCCTCCTTACTGAATGCAAAAGAAACTAAGCACAAAATGGCTTATATCCATGCCATTGTATCCCATGACATCTCTTTATAAAAGTTGCCGATCTCAGAAAGCTAAGATTTACTAATCACCAAAAAAAACTTCACTTAACACTAAATACAAAAGCTAAGAAAAAACAGCTCTAAATGAAAAATCTAGGTTGTCCCCTTAATTTTCTTGTCAATTCCCTTTTCCTATTTCTTACCTATCACTGGGCATGCATAATAGATCTCCACAGCTTGTCATCTTTTCAAAAAAATTCTTCGTTACTTAGGCCCCATTAAGACTTTCTATATGTAAAATCCTTAAACTCAAAGTAGAAGCAGCAGTGGCTCCCAGTGGCCAATTTATGATAGGTATATTTTTCCTATCACAGCTCTTGTATTTTCATCTATGGTTCCTACAATTACAAAACCTCACAGAAGTTATCATATTAGAAAAAAAAATAAGTTGGCCAGGCACAGTGGTTCATGTCTGTAAACCCAGCACTTTGGGAGGCCAAGGTGGGCGGATCACCTGAGGTCGAGAGTTTGAGAACAGCCTGACCAACATAGGGAAACCCTATCTCTACTAAAAATACAAAATAATTACCCAGGCATGGTGGCACATGCCTGTAATCCCAGCTACTCGGGAGGCTGAGGCAGGAGAATCGCTTTAACCTGGGAGGTGGAGGCTGCGGTAAGCCAAGATCACACCACTGCACTCCAGCCTGGGCAAAAAGAGTGAAACTCCATCTCAAAAAAAAAAAAACCACCTTAAGTTAACAAAATAATACTCATTAACTTTAATCCTGTGCTTTTCCACTTGACAGCAATAAGAAAATTAAGATGTTTACTTTTCAGTCAACTAAGAAAGCCACTAAAACATAAAACATTACTTAACATCATGTGTTTTTGCATTTCTTTTTAAATTTTTTTTTTGAGAAAAGGTCTCACTGTCACCCAGGCTGGAGTGCAGTGGTGCAATCATAGCTCCCTGCAGCCTTAAACTCCCTGGCTCAAGTAGTCCTCCCATCTTGACCTCCCATAGTGCTGGAATTATAGGCATGTGCCACCAAGCCACACCCAGCCCTGTTTTTAGATTTTCAGTGTCCCTGGGATCACTTACTGACTCAATTAGTTATTTTTCTTGAAACAAGGTCTCACTCCATCACCCAGGTTGGAATGCAATGGTGTGATCATTGCTCACTGCAGCCTCGACTTCCCAGGCTCAAGTGATCCTCCTACTGCAGCCTCCGAGTAGCTGGGACTACAGGTGTGTGCTACCATGCCAGGATAATTTTTTAATTTTTTTGTGGAGACAGGCATCTCACTATGTTAGCCAGGCTGGTCTCAAACTTGTGGACTCAAGTGATCCGTCTGCCTCAGTCTCCTAAAGTGCTGGGATTACAGGCGTGAGCCAGTGGCACCTGGCATGACTCAAATAACTGAATAGTCACTATTTCTGTGTATAACAAAGCATCATCATCCACCCATTTGTTACAGTTTGATCAGCTTAAAGCTGTTAAAAACTTATTTTCCTAACATTCAACCTCAGTTATGTAGCTAAAAAGACTAGGGTGACATTCTAGATGTTTCACTATGACGTACATGATAGACTTCTACCAAGGTCTCCAAGATTTCTTTTGTTTTTTTGTTTTGTTTGTTTTTGAGACAAAGTCTCACTCTGTCACCTAGACTGGAGTACAGTGGCTGGATCTCAGCTCACTCTGACCTCTGCCTCCCAGTTTCAAGTAATCCTCCCACCTTAGCCTCCCAAGTAGCTGGGATTACAAGAGTGTACCATCATGCCTGGCTTATTTTTATATTTTTACTAGAGACAGGGTTTCCCCATGTTGACCAGGCTGGTCTCAAACTCCTGGTCTCAAGTAATCCGCTCTCCTTGGCCTCCTAAAGTGCTGGGATTACTGGTTTGAGCCACTGCACTTGGCCAAAAGAGGGCTCCAACATATCTGTCCTCTGGTTTGACTGGTTGGTAATCCAATCAACCACCAACTGCCAATTAACTTAGGGTTACTACTCAGCTGACTTTAGAATAAGGAACTATCTTAGATTATCCTCATAGGCCTGATATAATCAAATGAGCCCTCAGCAGCAGGAGAAGGAAGAAAAGTAAAGTTAGAGATACGGAAGTATAACAAAGGACTTGATCTGCCATTGCTATATCTGAATATAATCAAATGAGCCCTCAGCAGCAGCAGAAGGCAGAAAAGTAAAGTTAGAGATACGGAAGTATAACAAAGGACTTGATCTGCCATTGCTATATCTGAATATGGAAGATGGAGAGCCATGAGCCAAGGAATGAGGGCAGCCTCTAAAAGTTAGTTAAGAACCTTAAGGTAACAGCCAGCAAGGAAAGAGGGACCTTATTCATTCCTATAACCACATGGAACTAAATTCTGCCAACAATTTGAAGGAGCGTGAAAGCAGATTCATACCCAGGGCCTCCAGAGAGAAACACAGCACTGCTGACACCTGAGCTCTAAGCAAAGGCCCAGATATCTGATCTCTAGAAACTAGAAGACAATACATGTGTGGTTTTAAACCACTAAGTTTGTGGTAATTTGTTATGGCAACTACAGAAACACAATACAGATTCTGGTACCACAAGTCAGGTACTGCTGTTAACACACAGCTAAAAATGTGGAAATGGCTCTAGAAATCAGGCAGTGGGTAGAGGCTGGAAGAATTCTGAGCATCGTGATAGAAAATGCCTACGTTGCCTTGAATAACACTCTACTAGAAATCTAGACTTTAAAGACACTACCAATGAGGGCTCACAGACTGCCTGAAGAAATTCAGACTTGGAGGATTCAAAGAATCTAATTTGTATTGGGTATTCCTTTTGTTATCCATTCTGACGACAACACCGGTCTTGCCCAGAGTATTTAATACATTTTATGTAATTATTAATTTGGTTAGGTTTTTTCCTTTTAAAAAAAAAATTCATTTATTTACTTTTCTTAGAGATAGGGTCTTGTTCTGTCACCCGGGCTGGAGTGCAGTGACAAAAATCAGCTCACTGCAGCCTTGAATTCCTGAGTTCAAGTGATCCTCCTGCCTCAGCCTCTCGAGTAGCTGCACATTCCACTACGTCTGGCCTGATTTGCTTAGATTAAAATCTACTGTCTTGCTATTGTTTCCCATGTTCCATCTTTTCCTCTTATTGCTTTCTTTTCCTTTTGTCTGCCTTCTTTTTGTCACTATCATCTCTCCCTAGTTGCTACAAGTAGCCTCTTAACTTGTCTTGCTTCTAGGCTAATTTTTACTCCCAAATTATTTGAAGCCAGCAACAGTCTCGGCCTTATTGTCTTCTACATTTTCTGGGTAAATACCAATTATTACAATAACCTACAAGGCCCTGTAATACGTTTGTCCCCATTACCTCTCCTCTCTGACCTCATTTTCTACTATTCTCCCGCTCACTTATTCTATTTCAGTCACACTCACCACTTATTCTTCCTTGAACACGCCAGACATACTCCTACCTCAGGACCTTTGTGCTTGCTGTTCCCCCCAACTGGACTACTATTCCCTGCCTCTCTCACTTACAGGCTTTTGAGTAAATTTTACTTGCCTCCTAACTGTCAGTGGTAGGTGGAATAATTTGGGTAGGTCCCCAAACAATGCTCACGACCTAATCCCTGGAACCTGTACAGGGATTAAGGTTGCAGGTAGAATTAAGGCTGCTAATCAACTGACCTTAACATACAAAGATTATCCTAGATTATCTAAAAGGGCCCAATGTATTCACAAGCATCTTTAAAAGAGAGAGGGAGACGTGACTAGAGAAGAACGATCAAAGAGTTACAAAGTTGGTGACTGTGAAGATGGAGGAAGAGAAAAAGCCAAGAAATGTAAGCAGCCTCTTGAAATGGAAAAGGAAAGAAAACAGATTATTGCCTAGAGCCTCTATAAATGAACACAGCCCCACCAATGCCTAGATTTTAGCCCACCGAGACCCATTTCAAACTTCCGACCTCCAGAAATGTAAGATAATGAATTTTGTATTGTTTAAGCCACTTTTACGTTTGTGGTAGTTATGGCAGCAACAGAAAACTAACACATTACCCTATTTAAAACTCTAAGTCTTCACTCCCTTTTCCCCTTTGCTGCTTAATTTTTTCCTCCACGAAATGCATTACCTTCTAACAAACTTTATAAATTACTTGTTTTGTTTATAAATGTAATTTCTGCAAATCAATGTAAGTTGCATAAAAGCAGGGATTATCTTTGTTTACTATTTCCCAGAGTACATAGTGAGGTGCTCAAATATTTGTTGAATAAATATTCAATGGAATTATACACATCTGACTACATATACACATCTGACTACATATGAAGAACTGTGCTAAGGATAATGATGATGATCATGATGATTAAAAAGCCATTAATCTTAAAGAAAAACTAGGTATATAATCAGTAGTTGCTTCTACTCAATGGCATTTAGATTTAGAACTATGCATTAACATCTCTCAAAACACCTTCATTATTCAGTGTCTTCACTATTCCTTTTCGGTCCAATTGCAACAGCTTTTTTATTGACAAGTTGTAATAACTAAGGAAACACTTCAAACATCTATTAAGAATATCATTAAAAAAAAGAAAATTCTGAATATTCACCCCATCATACCTTTGGGGTGATCTGATTTAGAAAAGAATCAATACACAAAGTATTTCCTTCCTGAAAGTAGTTATGGAGATTTCAGAAAATCTCCAAGTTTGAAATATAAAATAAAAAATTTTGGCAACTACCAACAAACGTCTTATATTATTTTCACTCAAATAGAGAAGTCTTTGGTGTTAGACAGAGTGGTTAAGCCCATGTTCACACCACTGCACTCCAGCCTGGGTAACAGAGCCAGACCCTGCCTCAAAAAAAAAAAAAAATCACTTACCTGTCCCAGGAGTAGACGTAACTCCAACCAGAGGACTTTGCATTACTGAAATGTTTGGCTACACAAAAACAGAAGAAAGTGTTATGGTAAAAATGCAAAACATAAATACTGTAAGTGTTAAAAGGCTTCATTAAATGGATAACTGAATTTTTATCAGGTGCTGGAGGTGCCTCTAATTAGCTCACAGTACAAGGCACTCTTTTTTCCATGTAACAGTATTAACCTAAAATATACTAGACCCCTTAGTATTTGTTTAAAATAAGAAAAGTCATACGTTTTTAAAAAAAGACATTATCTTCTATAAAAGGTGACACAGTAACTATTTGTTTTAGTTTCTAATGTATAATAAGTAAAATAACAGAGATAATGGTAGCTTTTAAAATGACCCAAATTCACACAGAAAAACAGAAGGGTGACAGAATCTGATTTTCAAAGATGCTTAGAAACCATGAAATATGATAGATTCAAATCAGTCTAAACAATAAAAGACAGCATATCCCTACCACTACCAGTAGAAAGTTCCAAAACTGGTAAATTATCCATTTTAGTCCCTTAAAATATAAGAAAATTAAGGATTAAAACAGTTAAAAATCCTTCTAAAACAAAGACAACATCTAATCAATAAATGAGAACAGACTCTCTCTAGAACTCAATAAAGATTTTTTAAAACAGATTCTAATTAAACTAAGGAAATCTAAAATAGCTTCATCTAGCAACCAGAACTAAATGCTAAGAGAATGTTAGGAGAGAGATAAAATTTATTATTCAATTATTAATGCCAATTCTTTCATGATTAGGAAAAGGTTGAGCAAAGTCCAGGGGGCATAACTAATTTGGCCTCTAATTTAGCAATAATATTCTTACCAACTTTCAAATCAAAAACATTCTCTATAAATTATGACCCATGAGTCTTTCAAACATTTTGAATATAGCAATAACTGTAAGCCTTTATCTGTATCATTGGAAAAGTAATGAAAACTTGCACAAATTTAGGAGCCAGTGGCTCTCATAACAATTTTTAAATTTTTATTATTTATTTTTGAGACAGTCTTACTCTGTCACCCAGGCTGAGTGTAGTAATATGATCACAGCTTACTGCAGCTTGAGCTCAAGGAATCATCTCAGCCTTCTGAGTAGCTGGGACTACACATCACCACACTCATTCAGGTTTGGCTTTTTTTGTTGTTGTTTTGTATTTTTAGTAGAGAAAGAGTTTCGCCATGTAGCCAGGCTGATCTCAACCTCATGGGCTCAAGTGATCTGCCCAAGCTCACACCTATAATCCCAGCACTTTGGGAGGCCAAGGGAGGTGGATTACTTGAGCTCAGGAGTTCAAGACCAGCCTGGACAACAGGACAAATCCCATCTCTACAAAAAACACAAAAATTAGCCAGGCATGGTGGCGCAAGTCTGTAGTACCAGCTACTAGGGAGCTGAGGTGGGAGGATCACTTGAGCCCAGGAGGTCAAGGCTACAGTAGGGCATGAGCATGCCACTGCACTCCAGCCTGGGTGATAGAGCAAGATCCTGTTTCAAAAAATAATATCAAATAAAAATACATAAAATCAAGCAATCGCCCACCTCAGCTTCTCAAATTACTGGGATTACAGGCATGCACCAACACGCCCAGCCCTCATACCAAACTAAACACAAGCTTTACTTATCAGCCTTTAAAATACCATCCCAGACCAGGATATCTATCCATTAGAAACAACAAATACATGTAATTTTACATTTTCTAGTAGGCATATTTAAAAAGTACAAACAGGTGCAATTTAGTAATAGTTTATCTAGCTGAACACATCCAAGACATTATCATTATCATTTCAATATGCAATCAACGTTTAAAAATTAATAAGAGGCCAGGTTCGGTGGCTCACGCCTATAATCCCAGCCCTCTGGGAGGCCAAGGCAGGTGGATCATAGGTCAAGAGTTCGAGGCCAGACTGGCCAAGATGGTGATCCACCCCCATTTCTACTAAAAACACAAAAATTAGCCAGGTATGCTGGTGGGCGCCTATAATCCCAGCTACTCAGGAGGCTGAGGCAGAGAATTGCTTGAACCCAGAAGGTAGAGGTTGTAGTGAGCCAAGATCATGCCACTGCACTCCAGCCTGGGTGACAGAGCAAGACTTTGTCTCAAAAAATAAAAAATAAAAATAAATTAATAAGATACCTTACATTCTTTCTAAGTCTTCAAACTCTGGTGTGTATTTTACACTAAAAGTATATCTCAATTAAGACTAGCTATATTTCAAATATTAATAGCCACACTTAGCTAGTGGCTACTTTTGAACAAGAAGGCAGGTCTAGAAGTGTTGGAAAGAAACAGTAATCTATTTAACACAGTGAACGAATTTTGCCTTACTTGACAAGTAAGCCTAGTATGCCAGATATGTCAAGCCTAAAAATATCACAAATCCACTGAAAAATCCTTTCTAGTATTCTTCAACTCTCAAACAACCTTACTAAATATGATTCAGGGAAAGGCATAAAACATATATCTAAGGTAAAGAGCAGACATATCTTTATATAAAAAAACTTATCAATTCAGTTGATAAACTTTGTTTGCGTGTCCTACTAAGCACAATAATAATAGGAAAGAATACTTGTGTCTGTGAAGCTACTAAATTTTCTACTTAAAAGAAAGTCGGCCAGGCACAGTGGCTCACACTTATTATCTAGCGCTTTGAGAGGTCAAGGTAGAAGGATCACTTGAAGCCAGGAGAGCAAGACCTCGTCTCTACAAAAAATAATACAATTAGCCAGGTATAGCAGCACATGCCTATATCCCAACTAATAGGACAGCTGAGGGAGGAGGATTGGTTGAACCCAAGAGTTCAGGCTAGAGAGTTATGACTGTGCCACTGCACTCTAACCTGGGCAACAGAGCAGGACCCTGTTGGGGACCCTAAAGAAAGAAGAAAATAAAGAGAAGTCCATACTACTTCTCAGCTGACAAGTGCCCTACATCTAGATGAAACTCTAAATTTTCATTTGTTCTTTCACATAATTTTTAAATACTAAACATTAAACTTTATGACTTAAACTATAACCACATTCTACATGTATATTAAGTAGGCTGGAGGCATGGGCAGATGGATAAGGCATATCTGTAAAAACCTGAGAATTACCTATGAGAGAAAACAATCTAGAGTTTTACACTGTTAATTAAGTACAGATCATGATCAACAGAATTTAAGTAGATTCTATGATAAATGTGTTTAATGCTTATTCTGTGCAACACAGTTACATTAAAGTAGACGTCAGGGAAACATTTCAAAGTATTGACCCTCACAGAATAGTCACATAAAAACATGACCTTATTCATTGTGGATGATGAGGGTATTTATATTACCTGTCTTCTTGAAGTTAAAGGTGTTGATCCAAGTCCTGGGCTAGAAATGTCATCATATATACTTCTAACTGGTGGAGCGCCACTTTTATCTTTATGAGCTGGTACAACTGGTTGTGGTGGTGACCCACCTACAGTGTACAAAAAAAAAGGGTGAGAAAACAAAGGATTCTTCTATCTTTTTGGTAAGATTTTTAAAATTTGTATATTTCAAATACTGACTTAAAATTCTGTCTCCTATTCTATTCAAACTTTAATATGTTGAAGAGTCATCTAGGGATCTTGTTAAAATTCAGGCTCTAATTCAGAAGGTGTAGAGTGAAACCTGAGATTATAAAGTTCTAACAAGCTCCCAGGTGATGCCAATGCTGCTGATCCACAGACTGCACTTTGAATAAAAGGATTCAGAGTTAAGTAGTTAATGAAAATCTTAGTTTTTAGAAAACACGTAACTTTTGCTCTCTCTACAAAATGTTTAACATTTAAATACAAAACTTGATCTCATTTCTCACTTTAAAGTAGGTATTAAACAGCTCCAGTCTGGATTCCAGAATAAATATAATTCCCTAATGTGGAATATGACTATCTAGATTAAGAAGATCCCATTCATATTTCTCACAGTAGAAAATATTTAAGTACATAACGAAGACAGAGTAAAAGGACCAACTTCAGTGACATAAAGATGTCTTTATCAATCAGAGAACATGCAATGCCAAATAGCGATGCAGCCCAGACCATCTATAAGACTAATGTCTGAGCCAGGACAGTAGAGCTTAAGCTATTTAAAGCACAGTCCATGGAATAAGACTGACCTGGGGTTTATAATGCTCTCACTAGCAAGTGAGCTTCAGCAAATTATTGCATTCAGCCTCAGTTTCCTCTTTTGAAAAATGGGGATACTTTTACCTACCCTTTAAGAATGACAAAAGAAGGATCAGCATGCTGCCAGGCTCATAAGCAATCAATATATGTTGATTACCATAATAAAAATACATTTGAAATTTAATGTTTAATGTAAAGTGAATTACTTCAAATATAATTCATAATTTTCCCTGATAAATCCTAAATAATAATAAACCATTTTAAAGCAAAAATACTTTAAGGGACAATTAAGGTAAGAAGAATTTTCATTTAAACATCTACTAAAGGATATTAGCTCACAATTAGAATTCAACCACTTCTGTAGCTAATTCTCACTACTCAATTAAAACTTCGAAGCTATTTTTTAAAACATTTCTTTGCTATAGGAATTCTGAAATTTTAAATACAAGCTTCATTAACATTACAATACTTTGCCCTAACAATCTCAAATTCTGTGTAAAAAAAACTCAGTACTTTCATTAAACATGCTGTATATGAGAATTTCAATTCAACTAAGAGTAAAGGCAGAATTCATATCTACATCTTCAAGTTACACTTCTTTTGACCGATTATTTCCTATTCTTGTATCCTAAGATGGGTAACTTTAAACGAATTCAGCTGAAGCTAAATGATGGCATTTCATCAACTCTAAGAGGCACTCTTCCCTGACCATAGTCTGACATCCCAAAACAGGAATTTTACAAAAAAATGGCATCTTAGCATTGTGTCATATTTAGGGTTATCTTTCCTGGTGGTACTTAAAATAATGCTGAGTTTTACATGTAAAGGCATCTTAGAATAAATAAAACAGAATACATCTTAGTAGTTTAGAAATTATTATAGCTTGTACTGCTTATACCTTCACTCCAAGAGGCTTAAAATAAAACCTTTGTTTTATAATAGAGGCATTGCTGAATTAAAAAAAAAAAATCAATGATTGTATTGATGAGGGTGAATGCTGCACCATTATACTTTTTAAAATTCTAGCACAAGCTTGTCCCACCTGTGGCTTGAATGCCCCATGAAGCCCAGAATGGCTCTGAATGCGGCCCAACACAAATTGGTAAACTTTCTTAAAACATTGTGAGATTTTTTTGGCATTTTGTTTTTCTTTTTTTTTAGATCATCAGCTATTATTAGAGTTACTCTATTTTATGTGTGGCCCACACAATTCTTCTTCCCGTGTAGTCCAGGGAAGCCAACAGATTGGACACCCCTGTATCTAGCACGTCTACTGATAGTACTATAAGATTATTTTAAGGAATTCACCTACCTGCAAGTAAAGGTGATCTCATTTCCATTACTCCTACTGAAGGGCCACTAATTGATCGAGGTTGTGGAGTCACTGGAGCTGGCAAATCCCCCATTAAAAATCCAGGTAAGAACTGGGCATTAACTCCTGGCTTTGGAGATGTGGGTGAACCCAGCATCATTGGTTCAGATCCTACACAAATCAAAAAATAAATTAAGGACTTTTCTGGTACAATATTTGATAGAAACACGCAAGAATCTAGCATAATTTTTAAACTTTAATCAAAACTTCTAGATATAATAGAACTATAGTTGCATTTATTTTTTAAAAACCAACAAAAATTATTTCTAGAAAAAAGTAAAGCTATCTTGTAATCACATTTTTTCTTTTAAATACAGAGGCTTGCTTTGTCACCCAGGCTGGAGTGCGGTGGCGCAATCTCAGCTCACTGCAACCTCCACCTCCTAGGCTCAAATGATCCTCCCTCCTCAGCCTCTCAATAGCTGAGTCTACAGGCCTGAGCCACCATGCCCAGCTAATTTTTGTATTTTTTGTAGAGATGGGGTTTCACCATGTTGCCCAGGCTGGTCCTGAGCTCAGGTGTTCCACCAGCCTTGGCCCCCCAAAATGCTGGGATTAAAGGCGTAAAGCCACCATGACTGGCAGCACAATACTAATCTGTTAGTTAACAGCTATTTTTGTTTACATTATTTCAGTGTTTAAAAATCACACTAATAACTTCTTTCCATTTCCGAATCCTTTTTTTTTTTTTTTTATTAAGACAGGGTTTCACCATATTGGTCAGGCTGGTCTTGAACTCCTCACCTCAGATGATCTGCCTGTCTTGGCCTCCCAAAGTGCTGGTATCACAGCTGTGAGCCACTACAACCGGTGTGACCAGCCCTGCAACTATGTATCAACTGAAAACAAGGCTAGGCTGTACTACTTACACAAAGTCTTAGCATACTAAACACAATGGTTTTAGCTTGATAAATTGTCTCTTTTTCTTCCCCATAAAAAGTGCATTATTATTGTGATAAAACTGTAACCATGCACATATTAGAGCACTTATGAAATAACAGTGATAACTAGCACCCTAACTCAGAAACATGCTGAGAAGAGTTGAAAAACTTACTTTTGGATCGTTTTTTAATCATTATTTCACATCAAGAATAAACACAGCCGGTCGTGGTGACTCTCATCTGTAATCCTATGTAATCCTACCCCATCACCTTGGGAGGCCAAGGCAGGAGGATTATTTGAGCTTAGGAGTTCAAGACCAGCCTGAGCAACACAGTAAAACCTTATCTCTAAAATAAAAAAAAATAAAATCACTAAATATCTCCCTAATATAAAGCCAATTTAAAGAGACAACTGAAACTTCACAATTGTTGATACAAAAATTATCCCAATCTACAGAGAAGATATTGTTTCCCTTACGAAGATGAGCGAGCTATGTAATTCTAAATTCAGAGCAAAATAGCAGAATAAGGAAAACAATGTCAAAGATAGGGGTTCAGGTTCTCTCAGCAAAAGGGATTAAGCATAGCTAGCATCTACTTACAGAGCTATTGTTACAAGTATAGCAAGTATAGCACTTGACCTGGTGCCTGATACACAGTTAGGTGCTCAATGAATACAAATTCTTATTTTCTACAAGTATTTTATAATAGAAAAAAATGAATGATTAAAGTATAAATGTAGAATTTGCAATCTCTGCTTGTGAAAATAATTTTCAACTAGGTGACACACCTGAGTGTGACTCACGGCACTCAAAAGGGTCAAATGTTTGTTACGTTATTTGTATGCTTTTTATTAACTATTACTTAACTTCCAGACAGTCTTAAAAATCTGTTTCTTGATATCCAAAAGCTGCCAACTATTCTTCCTCTTATTTTCCACTGTACTACACCTAGATATTAACAATACAAGTGTATAAAAGATGAAAAAGCAAATTCGGTAAATGGATAAAGCAAACACTAAAACTCTAATTACATTGTAATTATTTTATAAAGTCCTAGTTACTATGTTACATGGCACTACAGAAATATTTCCTAAGAACATCCACTAAAATTAAACCAAAAGTCTAAACAAAAGCATATTCTTAACAGATATTTAGAATACCATATTAAATGCAAAGTTTTGATAACATTCACTACTCACTCCCCCTCCCTAAAAGAAAAAAGAAATATGGTAACATAAAGTAAGAATTGTTTTAAGAAAAGTTTTGATATATCTGGATACATACAGACACAGTAGAAGGCTCAAGCCTGTAATCCCAGCACTTTGGGAGGCTGAGGCGGGCAGATCGCTTGAGCTCAGTCAAGATCAGTCTGGACAAAATGGCGAAATCCTGTCTCTAACCAAAAATACAAAAAGTAGCTGGGCGTGGTAGCACACGCCTGTGGTCCTAGCTACTGGGAGGCTGAGGTGGGAGGATCGCTTGAGCCCAGAGGCAGAGGTTGCAATGAGCCGAGATTGCGCAACTGCACTCCAGCCCGGGTGACAGAGCAAGACCCAGTCTCAAAAGAGAGGAAGGGAGGGAAGGAGGGAGAGAGAGAATAAGGAAGGAAAAGAAGAAAGCACCAGAAAGCAAGGAGGGCACATGGGTTCATAATTAGGACCTTCACTAACCACCCCTCAGGCTAAATTTCACTTAAAGCAAACTTAAGGAAAAGATGCCGCATGTCCTCAATTCCACTTCACAGCCTGTGCTCCTAAAAGATACGTACTCAGCTAGCACAGTTTGTTGAAGGCAACACTTAGTTTTACTACACCAGTAGGTACCTGGAATATCTGTGAAATGTGGACTTGATCATTAATACTAGCTAATGTCAGGTTTCTGGAGAGGCAATATATAGGGATTGGTTTATTCACGTTTGTAACCCCAATAATGGGCACTCCAAAATGTTTCTGTTGAATACAAAACTTTGGAACTGGAAATGAAGAGTTTTCTGATCTCTAAAAATATATTAAATATCAGGACGATATCTGTATATAAATTTTAATGCAGAGTATCTGCATTATTGACGTTATGCATTTAGTTTTTTACGACATACTAAAGTAATTCAAGTTATTCTTTTTTTTTTTTTGACATGACCTCTCGCTCTGTCGTCAGGCTGGAGTGCAGTGGCACGATCTCGGCTCATTGCAGCCTCCCACTCCCGGGTTCAAGGGATTCTCCTGCCTCAGCCTCCCGAGTAGCTGGGATTACAGACGCGAGCCACCACGCCAGGTAAATTTTTGTATTTTCAGTAGAGACGGGGGTTTCCCCATTTTGGCCAGGATGCTGTGGATCACCCGACGTCGTGATCCGCCTCGGCCTCCCAGTGCGGGAATGACAGGCGTCAGCCACCGCACTCGGCCAAGTTACTCTATTCTCGAAAGGGAAGTATTTTACACCAAACAGGGCAAGTATTACATACCCTTCAAATCTAAAAAGACTAGTTCTGCACTATATATATCACACTTGCTTTTCCAAGCTCATAATATTATAACCTTTCAGGTAATCTCTGTAACAGTAAGACGGTTTATTTTCTGTTCCAAAATTTTCGACGGTTCTCACAAGTCGCAAAACTCAGCAGGAAAACAAGGAACTCGCGTGCTGTTAATTGGTAGATTTTTTTCAAAGACGACATATTTCAACGAGTCTCCTTAATGAATAATGGGAATAAATCTTTAAAAATTCAGACCGTGACTTATTAGAGAAAAACACCTCCTATAATACTTTCCCCAGACAATGGCGAGAAATATCGTGCGAACTCCTAGCTTGCTATTAAGACCAATATCTCAATGATTACCAACCATCTGGTTGACTAAATGGTAACAATTAAAGCTTCCATTAATAAGATTCCTTCTGCAAAGCCCGGAAAAGAGGAGTCCAAACAGGAACTAGAAGCAAAAGAGTTCAAGAAGCAGTGGACTGTACCCACTCACTTCAGGGCACCGCCCACCCACGTGTACCGCGGTCAGTTTCTCCCAGGGATGCTTCCGGGGACGAGAGAATCCAGCTACTAGCATTGCTTCTCAGGTATTAGAAGGAAGTTAAAGTACGGGCCAGTCTGGCGTGGCCGACGTGAGGGGGCACAAACACAGGTCAGTCACCGCCCGACGGCCTTTTCTTCACCCTCCCAGGGCCCACAGCTTCCCGGCGCCGCCTTGGTAGTACCGAGGCGACGCACCGAGTAGGGGACCGACTAGGAACTTGGGGGCACCCAAGAGTTCCCCCTCCGCGACTGCATTTCAGTCTTGTCCGCTTCCAGGCCGAGAACATGGATGGCACAGCCAGCAAGGAAAAGCAGTTTTTTACTCACCTAACGCGGGCGCCTGGGGTTCCACGGCAAAGGCTGCCATTGCGTCGGCAACCACAGTTAAAAACCAGTACCTTCCCAATTTTCAAAAATGGCGGAAACTCTCCCCACTTGTAAAGGCGCGCTACCTTATGGGGTTGCGTAACTTCCGGACTTGCGCTATACTTAAGTTGTGGGCGCTGGAGCCATTTTGGAATAGGGTAATGTCTTTGTGCTGACTAGGAATTTCCGAGAAAGGGGTTTTTTCCGCCGGGAAGGTGGCGAACCAGCCTGGGAGCTGTGGTTCTGGGAATGTTTTTCGTCCCTTTGTGAGCTTCCTGATTTGCTGGTACTTGACTTACATAGAAGTACAGATTATTTTACTCGTGGTTTCATAATTAGCGTGAGTTGGCCCAGTGCGCTTTCATCGGTCAGCTTTTCTGAGTAACACCTGGAAAAGTCAACTTGATGAAAACAGTTGGTGCCTCTTTCCAATGTCAATTTCTGGGCCTAGTGCATTACGCTTTTTTCTCAAAGCATGTTTTCTGCTATCTGTATGCCATTTCTTTAAAATTTTTTATTACATAGACAATTATACATAACGAATACGCTGTTTTGTTGCATATTAATGCATACAAAAATATTGCTAATGAATGCATATGTGCACATGTAAAGAATGGAGGATAATTATAAACACCCATGAACACTCCACACCGTGGACTCTTGCGTGCTTCTGCCTGTGCCATCCCTGCCGGTCCATGTCCCCTCACTTTGCTGCTTTTCTTTAGGGCATGGTCATACGTAGATCAAATACACATATTCTGCATATGTGTGTTCAAAAATATGTTCTTTAGTTTTGCTCAATCACTTTTATAAAATAATGCGCTACATATGTATAACTGGGATATTCTCTGCTCCATACCACGAGAATTATTTCCAAAATATCCACCCATGCTCAGCTATTTCTTCTGATACCTCCTAAAATCTCAAATCCAGAAAGAATTTTGTCTTTGGAATGAGGCAGTAACAATTCCAGGATTAAATGGTAGGTTCCCAGAAATCAGATTTTAAAACCACTCACAGATTGAATTGACTTTTTGAAAATGGGTGTGTGAATTGAATTGTGTCCCCCAAAAAAGTTATGTTCAATTCCTAACCCTAATACTTATGAATATTACCTTATTTGGAAGTCGGATCTTTGCAGATGTAATAAAGTTCAGACAAAGTCATATCGGAGTATCACAAGCTCAGTAACCTAAACCAGCACAAATATATCTCTTATACTTCTGGAGGCCAGAAATCCAAAATGAGTATGGTGGAGCTAAAATAAAGGTATCAGAAGGACTATTTTCTCCTGGAGGTTCCAGGGGACAATCTATTTCCTTGCTTTTTCTAGCTTTTAGAACCTATTTATATCCCTTAGCTTGTGCCACCTTCCTGCTTTTTCAAAGCCAGAGATGCAGCATCTTTGATCTATCTGACACTGCTTTGTTCAGCTTCTGCCATCACATAGCCTTGTGGTTACATTTAGGGCTCACCCAGGAAATTCAGAATAATCTTCCTATTTCAATATCCAGTAGATGTGACTAAGTTAATAATTGCATCTTCGAAATACTTTTTTGCCATATAAGGTAACATTCACAGGTTCTAAAGCTTAGTGTGTGAGCATCTTTGGGGACTATTCAGCCCACAGCACAGACCAATCCACTTTTTAAAATTAAGCTACCAAAAAAGGTACATCAGTGAAGAAATTTCTATACACATTGAGGCTGGGTGTGGTGGCTCACACCTGTAATCTCAGCATTTTGGGAAGCTGAGATAGGTAGCTCAATTGAGCCTGGGAGTCTTAGACATAATGAGACTCCACCTCTATACAAATAAAAAATAGATTTTTTAAAAAAAGAAATTTATATACAAATTATGATCTAGCCAAACAAAAGAACACTATACACATGCTGAAATGAATTAGATGGATTTAATATGAGTGTAAATATTAACCTATGTGGGTGAGCCCTAAATATTAGCCTAGAAAAATCTCTGTGATAGATATAATGGAAAAAAAAAACATTATTTGAAAACATAAATACATGTGCATATATATATGGCACCATTTTATTTTTATTTAGTAACAGGTTTATTTAGGAACAGATGCAGAGAAAGACAGAGAAGAGTGATGCTTTTTTAAATAAAGGAAAATATTGGAAAAGATTTGCACCAAGCTATTAACAGGAGAGATGGTGGAGGAAAGGGTTTCTATATTGGAGGATTTAAGAATGGCCTTTAACTTATTTTATGCAAGTTTTCTTGTGATTACAGCTGTTATTACTATTTTCTTTATTTTTTTAATTAATAACTTTTTCCCATTAAGGAAGTTATTTTCCTTTCTTTACCTGCATTTCAATCTTTTACCCTTTCAACAGGCTCTTTCCTTACCAAGTTATAAAGAAGCCCAATATTGAAACCCTCCCTAGATCTCATTCTTGGGCCTACCTACCATGTGATAATTTCTCTCTCATTTCATTTTTTTCATGATCTCAAAAGAAATGTCTATAGATTTTAGTAAATTATCTGTTTCCCTATCTTTACTATTGGGATTTTTAATTAATTACAGATTGGCTTCTTTGTCATGCTCTTCTGAAATGAAACTACTGACTCCAACTATTTTTTTTCTAATTGCCAAATTAGACCTGCCTCGCTGACATCTGCAGTATCCAACAGCTTCAACGATCTTTTCCTTAGTACAAGTGTTTTATTTTTGGTGATCCTACCCTTTCTACTTCTCATAACTTCCTATTCCTTTTCTGCTTTTTCAATAATTGAACCCATTTTCTTTCTAACCTGGAATTATTATTGTTGTTCAAGCCTTTGATCTCTCTTTTCTTTTTCAATTTTTAATGGTCTCCTTGGAATCCTTATTGTTGTCACACCTATGCAAATAATTTTCAATACCTATGCCCAACATCTCTAAAGCCAAATGCCACTTTTCCAGATGCTTGCTGGACAACCTACCTGTATATCAAACCTCAAAAGCAAACTCATCTTTTGTCCCTTTTTCTGTTCACCTCTTAGAAACTCAAAATTAAATGCATAGTGTGTTAGCAGAATTTAGAGTCAGACACACCTGAATTCAGAGCCGAACTCTCACTACAACCTATAAAACTTGGATTTGTATTTGATATCTAGATTTTGTTTGTAAAATAGAAACAACACCTACTTTGAAAGGTGGTTATGCTTACTTAGTACAGTGTCTGTTCCACTTTGCTTTTTCTGACATTCACATTCTTGCCATCAGACATTCAGATATTCTTTCTGCCTCTTCAATTCCTATACAATTGCAGTCAACTCTTCACATCTCCTTGCCTTCAGTTTCTCCCACCAAGCCTAACACACCAGTAACCAAACGTTCTTTGCTTTTTTGAGACAGCGTTTCATGCTGTCATCCAGGCTAGAGGGCAGTGGCTCAATCTTGGGTCACTGCAACATCTGCCTCCTGGGTTCAAGCAATTCTTCTGCCTCAGCTTCCCGAATAGCTGGGACTACAGGCCCATGCCACCACATCTGGCTAATTTTTGTATTTTTAGTAGAGACAAGATTTCACCATGTTAGCTAGGCTGGTCTCAAACTCCTGACCTCAAGTGATTGCCAGCCTTGGCCTCTCAAAGTGTTGGGATTACAGGCATGAGCCACTGCACCTGGCCCAAAGCTTTCTTCTTCATACACATTACCCAGCTGTCTGAAAACACTCACTGAGTTTTTATTTTCTACAGAAGCCTCCTTTCCTTCAGCCTCCACAAGGCTCAAGAGTGCAGCACATGTCATCTAGTAACATCCTTCATTATACTATATACATTCTCAACTGGACAGCAAAGAAGGAAAAAATCAGAATCTCTCACAGTGGGAGGGTGGAAGCATCCCTTTTAGAAACTTCCATAGGAACCCCTAAAGGCAATACACATTGTTACCCTACTTTCACCTTGGGGTAACTGAGAACCTTGAATTCAAAAATAAAATCCCAGGGCATGGTGGCAAGTACCTTGTAGTCCCAACTACTCAGGAGGCTGAGGCAGGAGGATCACTTGAGTCCAGGAGTTCCATGATGCAGTGAGCTAGGATCCTGCTACTGAACTCCAGCCTAGGCTACTGAGCAAGACCCTGTACCCTGACCGCCCCCCAAAAAGCTAAAAATTTTCTTCACCTCCTCACCCTAACCATTTGCTCCAATCAATTCTCTCATTATTCCCTGTTGAAACACCTCATTCTCTTGTGAACAGCTCTTCACATTGTATTTTTGGCTCACATCAGCCCTCTGCCTAGCATCCCTTAGCTTTCCAACCCAATTTGCAAAGTCTTGTGTTGCTTTCAAGTAGCAGCTCAAGCCTCTTTCTGTCATGAAACCTGCTCCAGCCATGCCAACTGTGAATCATCTTATCTCTGCACCTCACTTTGCTCTAAATACTTGTCTTTTAAGTTTTCTTTCCAGTCCCACTAGATGGATTTTTTTGAGGCAGGAACCATAAGTTTTTCTACTTTGTATTTCCATCACTTTTCAATGAATGTATGTTGAAAAATAAATGGTTATATTAGGTATCAAGTCAAGCATAAACAGGGCAAGAGAGGGCGCCCCCTGCCCCAATTAGAATGTCAGGCAACCATCAGGTGATGGTCAGACTGTTGTTAAAGTGTCTCTTTAAAATAACTGGTTACAGCCAGCCCCAGGGAAAGGCAGTTTCCCAATAGAAAACTGGTGGTCAGCAGCTTCCCAATAAGATCTCAGGAGTTGGCAGACTGGGCTCAGGCATGCATATTAAGAGGCAAAATGGAAGAGTTTAACTGGTTTAGGACCTCTGGAACATTCAGCTGTTAAGGGAAGAACACCTCTAGTGAGCATGCGTACAACTCCAGTAAACACACTGCGCATGCTCACCTCCAGAGTGCTAACGGGCAGCCCACTCC